AATACTGTTCACTTATATGTTTCACTGTAAACACCTATAAACAACTATAGGCCAATATCCAACTTACACCCTCTCTCAAAAATCTTCGAAAAATTAATTCATAAACGAATCTACTCCTACCTTATCTCCCAAAACATACTCAACCCCTGCCAATATGGATTCAGGCCTAATAAAAATACTAATGATGCTATTATACACATGCTAGAACATATATACACTGCAATAGAGAAAAAAGAAGTCCCACTGGGGATCTTCATTGACTTACGTAAAGCTTTTGATACAGTTGACCATGACTTGCTCCACGTAAAATTGTCACACTATGGTATAAGAGGGCACTCCCTCAACTACCTCAAGTCATACCTCAGCAACAGAAGCCAATATGTGTACGCAAATGGGGCAAACTCTTCTGCGCAACCAATTACAGTTGGTGTCCCACAGGGAAGTGTCCTTGGCCCTCTTCTCTTTCTCCTATACATAAATGACCTTCCAAATGCTTCGCAATTACTCAAACCCACACTATTTGCAGATGACACTACATACGTCTTCTCTCACCCGAGCCCAGTCACACTAGCCAATACTGTAAATACCGAATTACAGAAAATATCTACTGGATGAGGACTAACAAACTTACACTAAACATTGACAAAACTACTTCATTCAGTTTGGTAACAGAGCTACAGATGTCCCTCTTAACATAATGATAAACGGATCACCTATCACAAAGCTAACAGAGGGAAAATTCTTAGGAATCCACCTTGATAATACTCAAATTTCATACACATATACAACAAATTTCTAAGAAAATTTCCAAGACTGTAGCATACTATCGAAGATACGGTACTATGTTCCACAGTCAGCCCTCCTGGCCCTATATCACTCTCTTATTTACCCCTATCTCACCTATGGATTTGTGCATGGGGCTCAACAACAATTAACCATCTCAGACCACTAATTACCCAACAAAAGGCTGCAGTTAGAATGATAACAAATTCTCACTACAGGCAGCACACTCCACCAATATTCAATACACTAAACCTACTCACCATACAAAACATCCATACTTATTACTGCACCTATTACATACATAGAACACTTAACTCTGATATTAACCCTCCCCTCAAACATCTCCTTGCCAACCTCAACAGAACACATGACCATAACACAAGGCACAGATCACTCTTTGATGTTCCTCGTGTTCATCTCACACTATGCAAAAACTCAATGCACATAAAAGGCCCTAAAATCTGGAATTTCATTACCTGTAAATATAAAAGAAAACACTACCTGTTTATAAATTCAAGTCTCTACTCAAAGATCACTTACTCACCCAAAACCAAATAAATACTGAATAACTGAACCTTATAAATTGTATATCTTAAATGTTTCTCACAATTATATCACATAAATGTTAAACCTAAAACCGAATCTAACTTTATTATTTTTTAAATACACTACCTAACAGAATCCTTCATATGACCTGTCTTTGTAATACTCACTTGTGCTTTATAGTAATCTGTTTACATTAATGTTTTATCACTGACTTCATCATTGCTTAGTTAATCTTAAGTTAATTTTAAGCCAGCCCGTAATGCTATGCATAGTATAAGTGGCTTTGGCATACTGCTCTTATCTGTATTTTTTTTTGTACCTCTGTATGTGTGCACAAATTTATAATAAATAAATAAATAAATAAATAAATCTGTATGTCATTCTTTTCATGAGATGACATCCGGGGTTATTCATTACACAAGCTCGTGTATTCGCCTCATTCTTTTTAACTGTACAAACAGACATTTCATTAAAGTCATAGGCCCTCACTATATCCACCACACATGAGCCACTCTTAAGCTTGTCTAATATCTCGATTTTAAATAAAAAAAAGGCACAATACTGACTGGAATGATACACAAATAACCCGCACATAGAAGAGAGGAGCTTACGACGACGTTTCGGTCCGACTTGGACTATTTACAAAGTCACACTAACGAGAATTGGAGCATGACGGGTATATATAGGCAGAAAGAGGTGGTGGTAGTGGTGGTAGTAGTATTAGTATAGTAATAGTAGTAGTACAGTGGACCCCCGGTTAATGATATTTTTTCAATCCAGAAGTATGTTCAGGTGCCAGTACTGACCGAATTTGTTCCCATAAGGAATATTGTGAAGTAGATTAGTCCATTTCAGACCCCCAAACATACACGTACAAATGCACTTACATAAATACACTTACATAATTGGCCGCATTCGGAGGTGATCGTTATGCGGGGGTCCACTGTATTAGTAATAGTATTAGTATTAGTGAAATGGGAAGTACAATGCCTGCACTTTAAAGGAGGAGTTTGGGATATTGGCAGTTTGGAGGGATATGTTGTGTATCTTTATACGTATATGCTTCTAAACCGTTGTATTCTGAGCACCTCTGCAAAAACAGTGATTATGTGTGAGTGTGGTGAAAGTGTTGAATGATGATGAAAGCATTTTCTTTTTGGGGATTTTGTTTCTTTTTTTGGGTCACCCTGCCTCGGTGGGAGATGGCAGACTTGTTGAAAAAAAAAAATAGTATTAGCAATAGTATTAGCAATAGTAGTAGTAATTAGTAATAGTAGTAGTAATTAGTAATAGTAGTAGTAATTAGTAATAGTAGTAATTAGTAATAGTAGTAGTAATTAGTAATAGTAGTAGTAATTAGTAATAGTAGTAGTAATTAGTAATAGTAGTAGTAATTAGTAATAGTAGTAGTAATTAGTAATAGTAGTAATTAGTAATAGTAGTAGTAATTAGTAGTAGTAATAGTAGTAGTAATTAGTAATAGTAATTAGTAATAGTAGTAATTAGTAATAGTAGTAGTAATTAGTAATAGTAGTAGTAATTAGTAATAGTAGTAGTAATTAGTAATAGTAGTAGTAATAGTAGTAATAGTAACAGTAGTAATAGTAATAGTAGTAATAGTAATAGTAATAGTAGTAATAGTAATAGTAGTAATAGTAATAGTAGTAATAGTAATAGTAGTAATAGTAGTAATAGAAGTAATAGTAGTAATAGTAATAGTAGTAATAGTAATAGTAGTAGTAGAAAATTAAGGAGAAGGAGCAGCAGCCAGTCAAATACAAAGAAAGGGGAGCACTGCAAGGGAGCTAGGTGCCCACAGAGTGAGAGCAAGTGCACAGAGGTGGGGGGGAAGGGGAAGTGATGGAATAAATAATGAAGGAACAGAAACACGAGACAGAAGAAAGACAACCCAGAGGAGAAAAAAGGAAAGAGGAAAGGGGAAGAAGGAGAAGAAAAAAAAGGAGGAGTCAGGTTAAGTCACGGGTGTTCTGAAGTTTGGAGCATTTTACAATGTAGTGGGAGAGGAAGGCTTCTACAGAGACAAAGCCAGGACTAAGATTCATACAAGAAAAGTTGTGTATTAGAGAGGATTCAACTCGACGGCGACTGTTAAAGTTGGAAGTAGGGAAGACAGTTTTAGCAGAAGACCAGTCAATGGTATGGCTGTGATCTCTGATGTGACAGAACAGAGCATTGTTAGTGTCGGCAAGCCTAACACTATTTTTGTGCTCCCTAAGTCTGTCAGAAAGAGATTGGCCAGTTTCTCCAAAGTATTGAAGAGGACAGGAGGAGCAAGAAATAGAGTAGACACCAGGAACATCTTCCTGGTGCACCTCCGTGCACTTGCTCTCCCTCTGTGGGCACCTAGCTCCCTTGCAGTGCTCCCCTTTCTTTGTATTTGACTGGCTCCTCCTCAATTCCCCACTACCACTACTACTACTACTACTACTACCACCACTACTGCTACTACTATTACTACTACTACCACCACTACCTCTTCCTGCCTATATATACCCGTCCTGCTCCAATTCTTGTTCGTGTGACTTTGTAAATGGTCCAAGTTGGACCGAAATGTTGTAAGCTCCTCTCTTCTATGTGCGGGTTATTTGTGTATCTCAATTTTCTTTGTAACTCCTAGATTTAAATGCTTAAGCCTTTTCTTGACACTAAGCAACACTTATATGCCAACTGGGTGCCATGATTGCTAGGCAGATTTAAGATATGGCAATTAAAAGATCAAAACTCAATCTACAAACAAAAACACAGCTAGCTCCTAGCAGAGGATGGTTCTACACGCTTATGAACTGGCTGGGACAAGGGTGGTGCAAGTGGTGGAGGGTGGCGGGGGATAGTAGTAGGTCTCCCCCACCGACTCAATGGTCTAACCCACAGCCAAGGAGAGTGCATCCCATGGGCGATGCTCATTCCAAGTTTTTTTACCCTCCTGCAAACTGATCCATGTTGTTAATTTTAAGAAGTGTTGTACAAAAATATGCCTCAATTCTTCAGTAGTGCTATAACCAAAACGTGCCAAACAAAACCGTTTTAAACAATGTTCTACTGTAATAAACATGCTATGTAACATATAAACATGAAATTAGACCCTACAGTAGAATAAATTAACAAATATGAGATGTTATATGTAGAAGAAAACGTATGAACCAAAACCAGACATGTTCGTCTGCTTGTTTACATACTCCGTGTCTCTCCTCTCTCATTTACTTTCTTTCTTTTTCTTTCTTTCTTTCTAATCTACTGTATATGCATTTTATCATTCTCGGGCACTAAGTGTTGTAGTATATTACTTGTGGGTGGGTTGGCCTGGCTGGCTACCATACCTCCTACACCAACTTCCTACAAATAAATACTACTCGCCTCTCACCCTACATTAAGACTACAAATATTTTATGGTAAGTAATGAGTGTTTTCTTTCCTTTTTATTTTTAATGCCTAGATCTACTGCTAACTTAATATATGTTAGCGTAAACTTGTTAACTGGCATTTATATGCATTTATAAGTGGAAAAATATGGTGTTCTGGGTTCCAGCGATGTCTGCTTTCTGGCAGTAGCCTGGAATCTAACCTGCCGTATAAGTGGGGCTCTATTGTACTTGCAACATCAACCAATTACCTAACTATTCTATGAAAATTACATGTAAAACACCACTTACTTCCTAGCAACAGTTGTAACTCTGCACCTAGTTTGACCTGACGGGTGTTGGTATCGAGTGATGAACTGTACATGTCCACGACCACCAGGAATATCAGACCCTTGTTGATTGGCAATTTCAAAGAATATTGATATTGTATTGTTAGGAGTCAAGCCACAAAGTTTCCACTTGGTTGTGTTTCCAATTCCAATCTCCATTTCTGCAACATTTGGGCCTTTTTCATGGGCCGAAACACAAGGACCCAAAGCTCCTGCAACTATAGAGAAAGTTATATTAATTCATACCATCATGCAACCACATACACAGTGTAACAGTGATCTTTTCATTGAAATGTCCTTCCTACTACGTGGGGTGGACTGTCACAAAAATATATGTGGCTACACTACTACTCGCCCCAGCATGCACTACTGCCAATACAAAAATGCATGAAATTTGTTATTTTAGGTACATATCCAAAGACACTAACATAACCTAAAATCAATAAATAAATCAAAATTACCATATATATAGTGACATGACATACTAACTTTTGAGTTCTCGTGAAGTTTTGACCTCCAATGTGGCATTAAAGGCCATTTCTAAATTGCCTTTTTCATCACGAGCAAACACACGTTGGAATGTTGTCCTGAACAGTGATGAGTTAAATGAATCTCCCAGAACCATGTGACCACTGAAAGAAAATGTGAACACTTAGTTGCACAACGGAGATCAATATTATGAGACATTAATTCAATTTGCTTTAACCAAGTATTTCAGCAAAAAAGCATATTACATTTGGCATAGCAAATAAAATATGGTAAAGCTGCTTTTATTGATCTACAGTGAATGTTGAATCCTTGATCTTAAGGCTAGGAATTTTTAGAATAATTTATCACATGAATGTTTACCGAGCCTTTCACTAATTACGAATACATTTTTACTAAAAAGCACAACCTGATTATAAAACCTCCATGGGGAAGTTGAACAGAATTCTTCCTCCGCAAGCCATGCGTGTCGTAAGAGGCAACTAAAATGCCAGGAGCAAGGGGCTAGTAACCCCTTCTCCTGTATATATTACTAAATGTAAAAGGAGAAACTTTCGTTTTTCCTTTTGGGCCACCCCGCCTCGGTGGGATACGGCCGGTGTGTTGAAAGAAAGAAAGAAAAGGAGAAACTTCATTTTTCCTTTTGGGCCACCCTGCCCCGGTGGGAAATGGCTGATTTGTTGAAAGATGATGATTATGAAGCATGTAAAATGTTTAAAAAACAGGAGGGAGAGGAATTATGATTGCGAATGCTGCTACAAGAAACCATGACAATATAAAAACAAGCTACATGTACAATATTACGGTCACTGTGCAATCCAAGAAAGGTATCCCCATACTGCATAACCCCAGCCCTCTCTACATCAATCCATGTGAAAACGATTAGTGTAGTGTGGCAGAGGTTTATAATGCAGTATTAGCATTGAAGCTCCAAAACAAATCAGATTTGGTATTCACAAGTTATCATATGGACACTAATACTCCAATTTTTTTCATAAAAATGGCAAATAAGGACATATATAGCCTTAAATTAATTCAACCCTTTCACTAAAAACAAATAATTTAAAGAGGTCTATCCAGTGGAAACAGGGGCAATGCCAAAAAGCCCAGGTAAAAAGAGTGCATCAGCAGGTACTGTACAGTATACATACAACAGGGGGGAAAGAAAGGATAAGAAAAACTTTTAATAAAGCTGGATTCAGTAAAGGCAGTGGGACCTGACGGTGTCACCATGAATTTTGCAAGGAAGCAGAAGCGCTTTTTGAACAAAGAACAATTGCCAGAGATCTGGAATACAATGAATGTAGTACCTATATTTAAAAAAGACACTGAACTAGAGGCCAGTTTCACTGACATGTATGCTATGCAAGGTAATGGAGAAGATATTCAGAAAGAGGTAAAGCACTAGGAGAGAAATGATTTCCTAAGCAACTAGCATGGATTCAAAGATGGCAAGTCTTGTCTTACCAATCTTTTGAAATTCTATGGCAGTGAGACAGTAGAGAGAGACTGGGTAGATTATATTTTCCAGAGACTGCAAGAAGACACATGATAATATACCCAAGATGAGACTGGAGCAAAAACTTGAGAAGCAGGCAGGAATAAATAGGAACATACTCTGGTGGATCAAAGAGTACCTTAGCAAAATGAAGCAAAAAGTGATTGTCCAGGAAGAAATGTCAGAATGGGGAAGAGTAACAAGCAATGTACCACAAGGAGCAATATTAGGAACAGTGCTGCTTCTTATTTATGTGCATGACATATCAGATGTATCTATATTTGATAACAAAACTAATAAGGAGAATGCAAAGAAGTGACAACTGGGAAATCCTGGAAAAAAAAAAAAAAGGATCTGGACAAATTACAGGGTTGGTCAGATAAGAAGTTGCTGTAATTCAACCCTAGCAAATGCAACATTATGAATACTTGGGATCAGGCCAGAAGACCGGACGCAGTAGAAACTCAGGAAACAGAGGGCTGAGGACCTCACTTAAACAGGACCTGGGAGTAAGCATAGTGCCTACCAGACTGCCAGAGGTTCACAACTGAATAACCTCTGCAACCAAATCTGAGAATGGCTTTCAGAAATCTCAACAAGAGTCAATCAGATGCTGTATAAAACATGTCATGCCCATCTTGGAAATTGAAGCATCAATATAGAACCCACACTTGAGGAAACACATTAAGAAACGAGAGAAAGTGCAAAAGTATGCAGCAAGGCTAGTTCCGGTGCTAAAGGGCATGAGCTGTGAGTAAAGGCTAAAGGAATTGAATATAACAACCCCAGAGGACAGCAGGACCAGGGATGACATAACATAAAAAATTACTAAAGATGAATTAATTGAGTAGACAGTGACAGGCTGTTTGAGGTGGGGAAACAGGTACTCAGGGCCACAGCTGAAAGAAGACAGATGAATCTTGGGGATGTCAGGAAGTATTCTTCAATCTCTGGGTGGTCAGGAAGTGGAATGACCTTGACAAAGTGATGAAGACAAGACTCCATACATAGTTTTAGGAATAGACACAATAGGATCCACAAGGCTAGGAGAATGACTAGTAAGCAGCAAGTTAAGAAGCGTGTGTACTCACCTATATGTACTCGCATATATGTGAATACACAAACATATACCCCTACTGGGATAGTTAGATTACTTCCCCCACAAGCACTGTTGTAAAATGACTAAAATCCAAGAATGAGTTACTGGCTACAGATCAGTAACCTTTTCTGTATTCAAATGCTACAAAAATAAAGGAGTAAATTTTAAAACTGGAGTGTTTTACCGTATGTGGATGTCATACAGATGAGAAAGAATTGAATGTTAATACTTAAAAATTGAGGTGTTTTAATGTGTGTGGATTAAGTACAGATGAGAAAGAATCGATTGTTAGTGTTATGAAAAATAAAATGATTACCATAATGGGGAGTACTAAACTGTAGGGATTATACAGCACCTGTGTGTGTGGGGGGGGGGGGGGCAGTTAATTGGAAGGCATTCAGACTCAATTTAGGGAACTGGAGCACAGATCCAATTCCCAAGATCAAGAGCCCCTCACCAGCATCGATGAACCTCCCTTGAGGGGATTATGAATAATAAGAAGCTTAATGTCCTGCACTAAGGTTAATAAAGTCAAAAGGGTTGGGAGAATTCAACAGTGAGGAGTAAATGAGATTAGAATATGTGTATTTAAGAGAATCAGGGCTAAAGAAGGAGCAGCAGTGCTGTGTTTGGGTTATCATGCACAAGTGAAAACACACAGTGACCACCAACTTCAATAGCATAGGAGGAAATTTTAACCACATAGCAAATTCCTAGCAGAAATAGGTCTGCAGCATATGAGCAAAATAACAGACTTTCAATGTGCAATACAAATATGTTAAGTCTTATTGTTTTATAAAACTACAATTCTGACACTAAAATGTACTGATAATGAATTCCTGACACACTTACCCTGTGTAGTTAGCACAGTATTTCATTTCATGTAGTCCCACTTGGTCAAGGGCACAAGCATACAAATCAACTATGTGACCATTATCAGATACTCTGTTGGCAAGGGTTTCATAAAATTTGATGGCTTTCTTCATGTACTGACAGCTGTCCTGGAAATCACAAGAAACATTCATTGAATACAGGTATATCATGGTAATCCTAGGTACTAGGTTGGCAGACAGCAACCACCCAGGGAGGTACTACCATCCTGCCAAGCAAGTCCAAAACAGAAATATATAATTGTTTTACATGATGGTAGGATTGCTGGTGTCATTTTTCTGTCTTATAAACATGCAAGATTGAATTCAGGTATATCTTGATACTCTAACTTACACTTAGGTTACACTACACATGCATGTACAAACATATATGCACACTCTTCTGGGTTTTCCTCTATTTTCTTACTAGTTCTTCTTTCTTGTTTATTTCCTCTTATCTCCACAGGGAAGTGGAATAGAATTCTTCCTCCGTAAACCATGAGTGCCGTAAAAGGTGACTAAAATGCTGGGAGCAAGGGGCTAGTAAGCTCTTCTGTATACATTACTAAATTTAAAGAGAAACTTTCATTTTTCTTCTTAGGTCACCCTGCCTTGGTGGGGTACGACCAGTTTGTTTAAGAAAAGAAATCATGGTAATACAGTGGACCCCCCCCCCCCCGAGTTTCGTGATTAATCCGTTCCAGAGAGCCCGCCGAAGGTCGAAATTTACGAAACTCGAAACCATTTTCCCCCATAAGAAATAATGGAAATAAAATTAATCCATTCCAGACACCCAAAACTATTAAAATAAAATATTTTTTTTTTCAAATTAAATAAAGATTTACATAATGAAAACAATCAGAAATCAAGTACATGCATTTAAAGTACATAATAACAACAATGCCTGCACTCTAAAGGATGGGTTTTGGGATATTAGCAGTTTGGAGGGATATGTTGTGTATCTTTATACGTATATGCTTCTAAACTGTTGTGTTCTGAGCACCTCTGCAAAAACAGTGATTATGTGTGAGTGAGGTGAAAGTGTTGAATGATGATGAAAGTATTTTCTTTTTGGGGATTTTCTTTCTTTTTGGGTCACCCTGCCTAGGTGGGAGACGGCCGACTTGTTGGAAAAAAAAAAAAATAACATTACACTTACCTTTACTGAAGACTTCTGCATGGATGGAAGATTGGAGGAGGTGATAGGAGGAAGGTGTACACTATTGTTTGGTAGGAGAATCTCCTTCCATTAGGACTTTAGGTAGCAAGTCCTTATCTGGGGTTACTTCCCTTCTTTTAATGCCACTGGGAACAACTTGAGAGTCACTGGACCCCTGGTGCACAAAGTATCTATCCAGAGAGGTCTTTTTCTGGCATTTCTTTAAGATTTCTCTGAAGTGGGACAACACTGTCATTGCACATGTTGCAGATACGACTTGTTTCAGCTTGGTCAGGGTGATACTTTTCAACAAAACTTTGCAACTCATTCCACATTCCACACATGTCCTTTATCACTGAAGAAGGCACCTCATCCACTCCCTCTTCCTCCTCCTCTGAAGCAAGTTCCTCGGCTGTGGTCTGATGCTGTTCCAGTTGAAGCTCTTGCAGTTCGTCAGTGGTTAGCTCTTCCCTGTGGTCCTCCACAAACTCTTCCACATCCCCGTCACTCACTTTATTTACCAAAGGGCTTGCACTAGCTTTCCTTGGGTCCATGATGACTCATTTAGCAGTTGCAAGCACAAAAAACAATTGATTATTATGGAATGTATTGTATGAACCCGCAGGGTGATGGTCACGTGTTGGTAAACAATGGCACACTGAGCGTGAATGGCATGGGAGACTGGCTTTGTGTGCGTGGTGATGGGTGGACGGGTACCGGACGTTCGTTGAAACACGAGTTTTTTCGTGAAACTCGAGGCCAAATTTTTCCAAAAAAACTCGCCGAAGGTCGAATTTCGCGAAAGTCGAGGCTGCCGAAACTCGGGGGTCCACTGTATCAACAAAAGCTATTTCAAAAAGATTTAACAACACCCATGTAGAAAACTATCGTCAACTAATAATTACCAATAAAAGGCATTCATCAGAATAAGTAACTGGTGCGGACAATGTTCAACAGCCTTACCTGCAATATATGATACATCTTTAACTGGTTTCTAGCCTTTATACCCTCACTCAACTGGAAAGTCTGGCCTCTTGCCAGGCTTTCCAGTTGAGTGCACATCCAGTCCGGCTGTTATTGGCAGCCCGCTGGCTCACAAACATCACAGCCTGGTTGATTCAGCACTTCAAAGAGGTAGCAGTCCATTGTCCTCTTGAAGACTTACACTTGGTCTGGCCATATTTCTGATACCTGCTGGTAGTAGGTTAAATAATCTTGGACCATGGATGTTGACAGTTCACTTAGCAGGCCCATGGCATCCCTTTACAATGTGCATTTTACACTTCCTGCAATATACCTCCCTCCATTATGTTATCAGCCCTCAAGTACATTATCAGGTAGAGTACCACTCCTCGGTTGAGAGTAAGCTAAAGCTAAAAAAAAAAAAAAAAAAAAAAAAAAAAAAAAAAAAAAAAAAAAAAAAAAAAAAAAAAAAAAAAAAAAAATAGGGGGGGGGGAGGTGAGCACAATACCGTAACTAGAACAGTTATTTTAGAACCATTGTCAGTTTAAGGATTTAAAAAAAGAGAGAGATAGTAGAATGAGGATACAATCTTACTGAACCTACCTTTTCAATGTCATGGTGAGATCTAATAGGTTTACGCAGGTCATCATCCACAACCATTCCAGGACCATAAGAACAGGCACCACCCATGAATGTTAGAATGCGGGCACCAGTATTTGGGTAACATGCCTGTGGAATAACTTTCCTTTGGTATAGTGAATAACAGGGTAAACACAATTTGCTTTAAAGGGCAGTTTACAAAACAACATTGTATGAAAGTGGTAGACAGCAACCACCCAGGGAGGTACTACCGTCCTGCCGAGTGTAAAACGAAAGCCTGTAATTGTTTTACATGGTAGGATTGCTAGTGTCTTTTTTCTGTCACAAACAGCAAGATTTCAGGTACGTCTTGCTACTTCTACTTACACTTGGGTCACACTACACATACATGTACACGTTTATGTATACACACTCATCTTAGTTGTTTTTTTATCTTAATGGTTCTTGTTCTTATTGCTTTTCCTTTTATATCCATGGGGAAGTGGAATAAGAATCTCTCCTCTGTAAGCCACGCGTGTTGTAAAAGTCAATTAAAATGCCAGGAACAATAGGCTAGTAACCCCTTTTCCCATATAGCCTGCTAAAAAGAAAAAGAAGAAAACCATCAAAGTGGGATGTCTGAATGTGTGTGGATGTTGTGTGAACGATAAGAAAGAGATGATTGTGGATATTATGAATGAGATGCTGGATGTCCTGGCTTTTAGTGAAACAAAGCTGAAGGGGGTGGGAGAGTTTCAGTGGGGAGAAATAAATGGGATTAGGTCAGGGGTTTCAAATAGAGCTAGAGTTTAAGAAGGAGTAGCAATAATGTTGAAGGATAAATTATGGCAGGAAGAGAGAGAATATAAATGTATTAATTCAAGGATTATGTGGAGTAAAATAAGGGCTGGATGTGAAAAGTGAGTTATAGCAAGCATTTATGCACCTGAAGAAGAGAGAAGTGTAGAGGAGAGAGATTTTGGGAAATGCTGAGTGAGTGCATGGGGAGTTTTGAACCAAATGTGAGTACTTGTGGTTGGGGATTTTAATGTAAAAGTGGGTAAAAATGTTGTGGAGGGAGTAGTAGGTAAATCTGGGATGCCAGGGGTAAATAAAAATGGGGAGCCTTTAATTGAGCTCTGTGTATAAAAAGGTTTGGTAATAATGTATATTTATGAAAAAGAGGATAAATAAATATACAAGGTATGATATAGCACATAATGAAAGTAGTTTGTTAGATTATGTATTGGTGGATAAAAGGTTGATGGGCAGGCTTCAGGATGTACAGGTTTATAGAGGGGCAACTGATATATTGGCTCATTATTTAGTTGTAGCTACAGTTCGAGTAAGAGGTAGATGGGACAAAATGAAAATGGCAACAAGAGAGAAGTGACAGTGCATAAACTAAGGGAGGAGGAAGTTAGGATGAGATATAAGCAACTATTGGCAGAAAGGTAGGCTAGTGAAATTTGAGTAGTGGGGGGGTTGAAGAGGGTTAGAATAGTATTAGAATGTGGGGCAGAAGTTTGTGGTTATAGGAGGGTGGGTGCAGGAGAAAAGAGGAGTGATTGGTGGAATGATGAAGTAAAGGGTGTGATAAAAGAGAAAAAGGTAGCTTATGAGAGGTTTTTACAAAGCAGAAGTGATATAAGAAAAGCAGAGTATATGGAGACCAAAAGAAAAGTGAAGAGAGGGGCGAGAGTGCAAAAGGAGAGCAGATGATAGAGTGGGAGAGGCATGGTCAAGAAATTCTGCAGAAAATATGAAAATTTTTTGGAGATAAACAAGTTAAGAAACTCTAGGGAACAAATGGATTTGTCAGTTAAAAACAGTAGGGAAGTAGTAGATGGGGAGCTGGAGGTATTGGGAAGATGGCTGGAATATTTTGAGGAACTTCTAAATGTCGATGAAGAGAGGCGGTAATTTCATGCACTGGTATAACATCTTTTAGGAGTGAAGAAAAGCAGGATGTTAGAGTGAGGGAGGGGCATGAGGCATTACGTAGAATAAAATGGGGTAAAGCAGCTTGAACTGAAGAGATCATGACAAATGTTAAAAGCAGGAGATAGTGATGGAGTGGTTGGTATTTTTGTTTAATAAATGTGTCTAAGGGCAATGTGTGGTGTAAATATTATGCAGAAAATTCGGAGTGTGGAAATTAGGAGAAGGTGTGGAGTTAATAAAAGTATTAGTCCGAGGGCTGAAGAGGGGTTGTTGAGGTGGTTTGGTCATTTAGAGAGAATGGATCAAAGTAGAATGACATGGAGAGCATTTAAATCTGTAGGAGAAGGAAGGCGGGGTAGGGGTCGTCCTCAAAAAGGTTGTAAGGAAGGGGTAAGGGAGGTTTTGTGAGCAAGGGGTGTGTTCGATAGGAGTGAATGGAGACGAATGGTATTTGGGACTTGAAGATCTGTTGGAATGTGAGCAGGGCAATATTTAGTGAAGGGATTCAGGGAAACCAGTTATTTTTATATAGCCGGACTCGAGTCCTGGAAATGGGAAGTACAATGCCTGCACTCTAAAGGAGGGGTTTTGGGATATTAGCAGTTTGGAGGGATATGTTGTGTATCTTTATATGTATATGCTTCTAAACTGTTATGTTCTGAGCACCTCTGCAAAAACCGTGATTATGTGTGAGTGAGGTGAAAGTGTTGAATGATGATGAAAGTATTTTCTTTTTGGGGATTTTCTTTCTTTTTGGGTCACCCTGCCTCAGTGGAAGACGGCCAACTTGTTGAAAAAAAAAAAAAATGTATGAAAGAGGGGAAGGTACCTAGGAATTGGCAGAGAGCATGTATAGTTCCTTTATATAAAGGGAAGGGGACAAGAGTTTGTAAAAATTACAGGGGAATAAGTTTACTGAGTAAATCAGGAAAAGTGTACTGTAGGGTTATTACTGAAAGAATTAGACGTAAGACAGAGTAGGATTGCAGATGAGCAAGGAGGCTTTAGAGTGGGTAGGGGATGTGTAGATCGTGTTTACATTGAAGCATGTATGTGAATAGTATTTAGATAAAGGTAGGGAAGTTTTCATTGCATTTATGAATTTAGAAAAAGCATATGATAGAGTGGATAGGGGAGCAATGTGGAAGATGTTGCAAGTATATGGAATAGGTAATAAGTTACTAAATGCTGTAAAGAGTTTTTATGAGGATAGCGAGGCTCAGGTTAGGGTGTGTAGAAGAGAGGGAGATTACTTCCCGATAAAATCAGGTCTTAGACAGGAATGTGTAATGTCATCATGGTTCGGTTAATATATTTATGGATGGGGATTTAAAAGAAGTAAATGCTATGGTGTTGGGGAGGTAGGTGGGATTAAATTATGGGGAATCAAATACAAAATGGGAGTTGACACAGTTACTTTTTGCTGATGATTCTGTGCTTATAGGGGATTCTAAAGAAAAGTTCAAAGGTTAATGGACGAGTTTGGGAGGGTGTGTAAAGGTAGAAAGCTGAAAGTGAATATAGATAAGAATAAGGTGATGAAGGTATCAAATGATTTAGATAAAGAAAATTGGATATCACATAGGAGAGAGGGAATATGGAAGAAGTGAATGTTTTCAGATATTTGGGAGTTGACTTGTCAGCAGATGGATTTATGAAGGATGAAGTTAAAATAGAATTGGTGAAGGAAGAAAGGCGAGTGGTGCATTGAGTTATATGTGGAGACAAAAAACGTTATCTATGGAGGCAAAGAAGGGAATGTATGAAAGTATAGGAGTACCAACTCTCTTACATGGGTGTGAAGCTTGGGTTGTAAATGCTACAGTGAGGAGGCGGATGGAGGCAGTGGAGATGTCCTGTCTAAGGGCAGTGTGTGGTGCAAATATGCAGAAAATTCAGTGTGGAAATTAGGAGAAGGTGTGGAGTTAATAAAAGTATTAGTCAGAGGGCTGAAGAGGGGTTGTCGAGGTGATTTGGTCATTTAGAGAGAATGGATCAAAGCAGAATGACATGGAGAGCGTATAAATCTGTAAGGGAAGGAAGGCGGGGTGGGGGTCGTCCTCGAAAAGGTTGGAGGGATGGGGGCAAAGGTGGTTTTGTGGGCGAGGGGCTTGGACTTCCAGCAAGCATGCGTGAGCGTGTTAGATAGGAGTGAATGGAGATGAATAGTGTTTGGGATCCAACGAGCTGTTGGAGTGTGAGTAGGGTAATATTTAATGAAGGGATTCGGGGAAACCGATTATTTTTATATAGCCAGACTTGAGTACTGGAAATGGGAAGTACACTGCCTGCACTTTAACCCTTAAACGGTCCAAACGTATATATACGTTCACTCGCGTAGCGCCCCAAATTTTGAGAGAAATTTTTTTTTTTAATAAGAAAAAAGAGTACATGGTACCCAGGTGTCCCCAATTATTTTAATATGGCACACAGTGAGTGCACACACCCATTCTCTCATGTCTAGGCAACTCAGGCTTATTGTGGCAATGTTGAATGAATGACAAAGAAAACGTATATATACATTTGGGGCGCTACGCAAGAGAACATATATATACGTTTGGACCGTTCAGGGGTTAAAGGAGGGGTTTGGGATATTGGCAGTTTGGAGGGATATGCTATATATCTTTATGCTTCAAAACTGTTGTATCTGGGCACCTCTGCAAAAACAGTGATTATGTATGAGTGAGGTGTACCTCTGTAATCTGTAAATACCTTTGTAACTTCTTGTGATTGTGACCAGATCTACCTAGAGTTCATTACCTTAGTAACTTGCTCAGCTGTCAAAACTTTGGGGCCCAGTCCCTGGACCCATTATGTACCTCTATAATCTTCTGACTACCACCCACAAGATGGGTATGGGGTGCATAATAAACACATTAAACAACTGAAGTGAAAGTGTTGAATGATGATTAAAGTACTTTTTTGTTGGGCATTTTCTTTCTTTCTTTCTGCCTCGGTGGGAGACTGCCGACTTGTTGAAAAAAACACACACCCCTCTAGGTTTTCTTCTATTTTTTTACTAGTTCTTTTGTTTATGTCCTCTTCTCCATGGGGAAGTTGAACAGAATTTTTCCTCCACAAGCCATGCAAGACACAAGAGGCAACTAACATGCTGGGAACAAGGGGCTACTAACTCCTTCTCCTGTATACATTATTAAAGTTAAAAAGAGAAACTTTTGTTTTCCTTTTTAGGCTTGATCTCAGAC